AAAACCCTTCAAAAAACTGGGCTGGTGGAGTGGCTCAAGGTATAGGCCTTGAGTTCAAGCCCCTCTCTCTCTCTCTCCTCTCTCTCTCTCTCTCTCTCTCTCTCACACACACACACACACACACACACACACACAGAGAGCACCTAGGGTGGGCAAGTTGGCTCACATGTGTAATACTGGCTACTCAGGAGGCAGAGATCGAGAGGATTGCAGTTCCAAGCCAAAGTTCATGAGAGCTCATCTTAATCAACAAAAGCTGGGCGGGATGTGGTAGTGGATGCCTGTTATCCCAGCTAGGTGGAAGCATAAATAGGAGGATCATGGTCCAGGTTGACCCAGGCATAAATGCAAGACTCTATTTGAAAAGAATACCTACAACAAAAAGGAAGGGTGGGGGCTGAAGTGGTAGAGTACCTAGCAAGGCCCTGAGTTCAAACCCAAGTACACAAAAAAAAAAATCACATACAGATGAACCTATACAAAATGAAAAATGTTAACATTTTATAAAGCGCTCTCACGTTTACTTCACTTAATCCTTATAAGTTGATAATATCCTAATGAGATAGATGTAAAAAAGATCTAATTATCCAGAATAACATCAATAAAAAATTTAGATTTAAACCTTTATTTTTCTTGAATTAAGAAAATGCTTAAAAGAAATGCTATGAAGAAAAACATAAATAAATATCTAATTCTAATATCCAAAAATAATTGTTAACATTTTGGTATATTTAACATTCTTTCATTTTATCCCTACTAAGTTTTTCTATTTTTTTGATGGCACTAGGGTTTTTTGATGAACTCAGGGTTTTGCATTTCCTAGGAAAGAGCTCTACACTTGAGCCATACTTCCAGCCTAAAAAGGGGTAATTATTAATCAGTAAAAACTGATTATTTTGGAGAAAGGATGTTGCTTTTTATCCAGGCCAGACTGGACAGTGATCCTTCTACCTCATGATAGCTGAGAATGATAGGTGTGTGCCGCCACTCCCAGCTCTTTTGTGCTCAGATGGATTCTCAAAAACTTGTCACAAAAAAACAAATAGGAGAGAAATAATAAAAATAAGAGCTGAAATCAACAAAATAGAAACCAAAAAACCATACAAAGAATTAATGAAACAAAAAGTTGGTTCTTTGAAAAAATAAACAAGATCGATAGACCCCTGACAAACCTGACTAAAATGAGGAGAAAAAAAACCCAAATTAGTAGAATCAGGAATGCAAAAGGGGAGATAACAACAAACACCATGGAAGTCCAGGAAATCATCAGAGACTACTTTGAGAACCTATATTCAAATTTGAAAATCTTAAAGAAATGGACAGATTTCTAGATACATATGATTATCCAAACCTGAACCAAGAGGAAATTAATCACCTGAATAGATCTATAACACAAAATGAAATTGAAGTAGCAATCAAGAGTCTCCCCAAAAAGAAAAGTCCAGGACCTCATGGATTCTTTGCTGAATTCTATCAGACCTTTAAAGAAGAACTGATACCAACCCTCCTTAAACTGTTCCACAAAACAGAAAGGGAAGGAAAACTGCCAAACACATTTTATGAAGCCAGTATTACACTTATCCCAAAACCAGGCAAAGACACCTCCAAAAAGAAGAAACTATAGGCCAATCTCCTTAATGAACATTGATATAAAAATCCTCAACAAAATAATGGCAAACCGAATTCAACAACACATCAAAAAGATTATTCACCACGACCAAGTAGGTTTCATCCCAGGGATGCAGGGGTGGTTCAACATACGAAAATCAATAAATGTAATAAACCACATTAACAGAAGCAAAGACAAAAACCACTTGATCATCTCAATAGATGCAGAAAAAGCCTTTGATAAGATCCAACACCATTTCATGATAAAAGCTCTAAGAAAACTAGGAATAGAAGGAAAGTACCTCAACATTATAAAAGCTATATATGACAAACCTACAGCCAGCATTATACTTAATGGAGAAAAACTGAAACCATTCCCTCTAAAATCAGGAACCAGACAAGGATGCCCACTATCTCCACTCCTATTCAACATAGTACTGGAATTCCTAGCCAGAGCAATTAGGCAAGAAGAAGGAATAAAAGGAATACAAATAGGTAAAGAAACTGTCAAAATATCCCTATATGCAGACGACATGATCCTATACCTTAAAGACCCAAAAAACTCTACTCAGAAGCTTCTAGACATCATCAATAGCTACAGCAAGGTAGCAGGATATAAAATCAACATAGAAAAATCATTAGCATTTCTATACACTAACAATGAGCAAACGGAAAAAGAATGTATGAAAACAATTCCATTTACAATAGTCTCAAAAAAAATCAAATACCTAGGAGTAAACCTAACAAAAGATGTGAATGACCTCTACAAGGAAAACTATAAACTTCTGAAGAAAGAGACTGAGGAAGACTATAGAAAGTGGAGAGATCTCCCATGCTCATGGATTGGTAGAATCAACATAGTAAAAATGTCTATACTCCCAAAAGTAATCTACATGTTTAATGCAATTCCCATAAAAATTCCAATGACATTCATTACAGAGATTGAAAAATCTACTGTGAAATTTATATGGAAACACAAGAGGCCATGAATAGCCAAGGCAATACTCAGTCAAAAGAACAATGCTGGAGATATCATGATACCCGACTTCAAACTATATTACAAAGTAGTAACAATAAAAACAGTATGGTACTGGCACAAAAACAGACATGAAGACCAGTGGAACAGAATAGAGGACCCAGATATGAAGCCAAACAACTATAACCAACTTGTCTTTGACAAAGGAGCTAAAAATATATGATGGAGAAATAGCAGCCTCTTCAACAAAACTGCTAGGAAAATTGGTTAGCAGTCTGCAAAAAACTGAAACTAGATCCATGTATATCACCCTATACCAAGATTAACTCAAAATGGATCAAGGATCTTAATATCAGACCACTCTTAAGTTGATACAGAAGAGTAGGAAATACTCTGGAGTTAGTAGGTATAGGTAAGAACTTTCTCAATGAAACCCCAGCAGCACAGCAACTAAGAGATAGCATAGATAAATGGGACCTCATAAAACTAAAAAGCTTCTGTTCATCAAAAGAAATGGTCTCTAAACTGAAGAGAACACCCACAGAGTGGGAGAAAATATTTGCCAGCTATACACAGACAAAGGACTGATAACCAGAATATAGGGAACTTAAAAAACTAAATTCTCCCAAAACTAATGAACCAATAAAGAAATGGGCAAGTGAACTAAAGAACTTTCAAAAGAAGAAATTCAAATGGCCAAAAAACACATGAAAAATGCTCACCATCTCTAGCACTAAAGGAAATGCAAATTAAAACCATGCTAAGATTCCACCTCACCCATAAGAATAGCCATCATTAGCCAGGTGTTGGCGAGGATGCGGGGGAAAAAGGAACTCTCTTACACTGTTGGCGGGAATGTAAACTAGTACAACCACTCTGGAAATAAATTTGGAGGCTACTTAAAAAGCTAAACATTGATCTACCATTTGATCCAGCAATACCACTCTTGGGGATATACCCAAAAGACTGTGACACAGGTTACTCCAGAGGCACTTGCAACCCATGTTTATTGCGGCACTATTCACAATAGCCAAGTTATGGAAACAGCCAAGGTGCCCCACTACTGACGAATGGATCAAGAAAATGTGGTATCTATACACAATGGAATTTTATGCAGCCATGAAGAAGAACGAAATGTTATCATTCACTGGTAAATGGATGGAATTGGAGAACATCATTCTGAGTGAAGTTAGCCTGGCCCAAAAGACCAAAAATGGTATGTTCTCCCTCATATGTGGACATTAGATCAAGGGCAAACACAACAAGGGGATTGGACTTGAGCACATATAAAAGCGAGAGCACAAGGGAGGGGTGAGGATAGGTAAGACACCTAAAAAACTAGCTAGCATTTGTTGCCCTTAACGCAGAGAAACTAAAGCAGATACCTTAAAGCAACTGAGGCCAATAGGAAAGGGGACCAGGAACTAGAGAAAAGTTAGATCAAAAAGAATTAACCTAGAAGGTAACACCCACGCACAGGAAATCAATGTGAGTCAACTCCCTGTATAGCTATCCTTATCTCAACCAGCAAAAACCCTTGTCCCTTCCTATTATTGCTTATACTCTCTCTACAACAAAATTAGAGATAAGGGCAAAATAGTTTCTGCTGGGTATTGAGGGGGGGGAGCGGGAGGGGGTGGAGTGGGTGGTAAGGGAGGGGGTTGGGGCAGGGGGGAGAAATGACCCAAGCATTGTATGCACATATAAATAAAACAATTAAAAAAAAAAAAAAAAAAAAAAAAACTTTTTGTCCAGGATGGCCTAGAACCACGATTCCACCACTGTCAGCCTGCCATGGCATGACAGGTGCTTACTACTATGCCCAGCCACTGACTGAGATGGTAGAGAATGTTTTACTTGGGCTGGCCTCAAACCATTACCCTCCCAATCTCATAGGTACCTCCAGAATAGTTGGATTACTGGTTTGAGCCACCATTAATGGGTAGTTTGGCAGATTTTAATTGCTTTATCCTACACCATTAATTTTCTCTTAAAAAAAAAAAAAAAGAGCCGGCTGGCAGCATGGCTCAAGTGGCAGAGTGCTTGTCTAGCAAGCATGAGGAAAATGAATTCAAGCCCCAGTACTGCAAAACAACACAGAACAACAACAAAAAAAAAGCTGGTTGGTTCTTTATTTAAAAATAAACAAGGGCCGTAGATGTGGCACCTGCCTAGAAAGTGTGAGGTCCTTCCGTTCAAACCCCAGTACCAACAACAAACAAACATGGACGGAAGACCACACTGATCAAAATGACTGTGAAATAAACTCATACAATTTAAATATGTATATATTTTCAATGGATTTCAGAGTCACAAGTAGAAAAAGACAAATGAAGCATATTTATTCATTAAATATTTAAATATGCATATTGATACAAACCAAAAATTATGTAACTTAAGAAGACTGGGTTCTTACCTGTTCAATCTCTTTGGTTTTTGATGCTATTGCTTTAGAGCGACTGGTCAGTTGACTGTCTTCAAATAACTCTGTACCATCAGTCGCGTTGGACTCAGGCTCTTCTGTCTGGTCAATGAATAATGGTGCCGCAGTTCCCATCTTGAAAAAAGAATGAGAAATCTACAATTACTTTCTTAAAGGACAGAGAGCATTTCAGTGGCTGATTATTTTAAAAGAAAGTGCTAGGTCTAACTTCTTTTCTTCTTCTTCCCAATACTGAGGTTTGAACTCAGGGCTTCATGATTGCACAGCAGGTGTTCTGCCACTTAAGCCACACCTCCAGTTCTAGGTGTAACTTTTTAAAGATTCCTTCATCTCATTCTGCACAATGAGCATATGTGAAGAGGATACCAGGAATGATTACTATTTTTAATTTTTGGTAAGACAAAGCCTCTAGGCTTTCACTCTAAATTAAGGTATAGCTAGAATGAACTGTTTCAAGACTATTCCTTAAGCAACTATTTGCAGAACACCAAAGAAGAAAAGACCAGCTAGAAGTGGCAGACATGCACACACATAAAGGAATACAATATTGTCATGGTGGCACACGCCCATAATCACAGCACTCGGGAGGCTGAGGCAGGCAGACTGCAAGTTCATGATTGACTTGGGCTATATATTACAACCTGGTCTCAGAAAAAAAAAAGAAGAAGAAGAAAAGACTAAGATAATCCTCTCTTCTTAAAAAGAGAGAATAAAAGAGAACTTGGGAAAGAGGTCTTTCCCAAGAAATTAAAGCACCTTGCTCCTGTAACCTAAGAACTCACTGAAATCATGAAAAGAAAACTCCAACAAAGCAATGATTACTTCTGTTTTACAGCAATAATTCAATAGTGGATAAAAATGCCATGGCATGGAGGTAATTCCCTATCAAGATAATGACAACTTGTGGAAAGGACAAGGGGTGGTAGTATGGGCATGTATATACATTTATGTATACATATATGCATAAATGATCTAGACTACTACCTGTAGGCAAAAACTAACAGAAGTTTTCGCCATAAAAAAGTAAGGAGTAGGATGCAAGGGACACACCATGAATACCTTGACACCATTTGAATTTCTGACACATATATGTATTGTCTAATTTAAATTGAAAGCATAAGAATCACTTAAGAAGGAAATTTCAGTGTCAGTGGCAGGTTTCTAATACCATGTCATTACATCCATATTGTTATTGTGTAACCCTCAGAGAAAGCTCCCAAAATTTCTACATCCTCTTACTTCTGCTGCTTAGGAAGAAACCTTATGGCCTGGGCAATGACACCAGATTATAGGTGAAGCATGACTGCAGGACAGGGGACTGCACAGTAACAAGGGTGTAACTTTTTCATGGATGGTGACAAGGAAGTTAAGATTATTTATACTACCAGTATTCTTATTATCTTAAGATGAAAGTAATTCTGTCTCTAGGTTCTGCTTCAGTTAGGTCAATGCAAAACACAAACACAAATGTCACAATCTACCCCCAGTAAAACAAGCTAACAAAAAATTGCAAAAGTTACATCATACTTAAAATAGGAATTTCGTATTTCATCATGATTCTAGTCTGTTAAAGTTTAGATGTTCGTACCTCCAAAATTCACCCTGCAATTTAATACACTGTATTAGAAGGTGAGGCCTTTGGGGGATGATTAGATGGGTGCAGGGCCTTTAAGGAATAGGTCAGCTCTCTTTTTGCTCTCTGTTATTCTGTCTTTTGAGGAACAGCTGTCCTCCCCTCCAGGCAATGCAGCATTCTAGGCACCATGTAAGAAGCCAAGACCAGGGCTTTACTAGACCCTAGACCTACCAGCTCTGTTCCTGGACTTCCCAGCATCCACTAGTGTAAGAAAGAAATTTCTATTCTTTGTGAATACCCAGACTCAGGTATTCTGGTTCAGCAGCACTAATGTGACAAAGACAGGCTGGGTGCAGTGGCTCATACTAGTAATCCCAGATACTCAAAAGGCAAAGATTGGGAGGATCAGAGTTCAAGTCCAGCCTGGGCAAAAAAGTGAGATTCCCCATCTCAACCATTAGCTGGGCATGGTGGCACACATCTCTCATCTCAGCTACACAGGAGGCATAAAATATAGGAAGATCATGGTCCAGGCCAGCCCCAGCAAAAATGCAAGACCTTATTCTCAAAAATAACCAAAGCATGGATGTGAGGGCGATCTGGATGCAACATCTGTCACCAAATTGATCGCCAGGGTTGATTCGGCTGATCTGGCTGGCTAGGCGGGTATCCACTTCCTCCCTCACCGCTCCATGTACATCCCTCCCGAAGCTGAGCGCTCCATCAAAGAGACGACCATCCTTGATAGAGGAGGACCATTCTTTGGTCAAGGGGATACAAGTAGCTGCGCTCCCCTGCTAGAACCTCCAAACAAGCTCTCAAAAATAACCAAAGCAGAAAGGTCTAGGGATGTGGTTCAAATGGTAGAGTACCTGCCTAGCAGGCAAAAGGCCAAGTTCAAGCCTCAGTACTGCCCCACACCCCCAAAAGTGGCAAAAACACTGGACCTACACCCAAAAAATATAAATTAGGATGCATAAGAAATGCACCAGAGCCAATATGAGATTCTACAAAACAAAAATCAAGAAAAACTAAATTGGCAATAAAAAGCTCATTAGCATTTAAGTTTAGTTCAATTAATACATATCCTTTAGAAAAAAATGAGGCAAGAGCTTAAGATACATTCAATATATGGAAACAATACCAAAAAGAAGAAGAAGAAAAAAAATTTAGTAAGACCACCAGTGAAATTTAAAGGGGCATAAATTTTACAGTAGGTAAGAAAGGAAAGTGGAACCAAGAAAGACCCTGAGTCTCACTATCTCCAACATTATTGCTTCTCTTGAATGAATATAAATTTAAGAGTCATGGAAGGCACACTCTAGACTTGAACAAAGTAGAAACATTGAAGCACAAAGAGTACCTTATACGTGGAAACAACACAGGTCACATTTTCATGTTCAAATATTAAAGTGATCTCTTCTATCGGGACGTTCTGATAACCTTCAAAAAACTTACCTTTTATTATGACAGCCAAAAGCAAAACTTTTGCAGACATTTAAGATAAAGTCTATCTCTACAAAACTGAAGACTACAACCTCCTTGATGGTTAGGATGCTGTTTCTAATGCAGTGTTTAACACAACAGAGTAGACTAAATTGTGAATTTAAAGCTACTATATATTTTTCACAAAAAATGTGAACTAAGCAATGAGAAAACATAAGCAGAAGGCAGATAATGAAGTTCTGTTACAAATTAAGACATATGAGAAACAATGGGAGATGGGGAGGGGTGTGGCTCCAGTGTCATAGCACTTGCCTACCAAGTGTGAGGCCCTGGGTTCAATCCCCCAATAATGCAAAAACAAAAACAACAAAATGACAGGGAGATGGAATGAACACACAGTTAATTCTTATATACATGAAATGAAGCCTTGCTTACATATATTCTTAATACCTGCACAAATAAAAATATGAAAGAAACCATAAGTTTCTCTTACTCCCAAATAGCAATTTTGACACACATGTTTATTGTTAATGTAAAAACCGCTGTTTTAATTAAAATAGCCAAAATTATTTTTAAAAACTTTATTAGATCCATTACTATATTGTCCATGCTTTTAAATAGTGCTAGCAAGTGCTTTAAAAAGTACAGCTTGATATTTCTGTTACATTTACTCAAGAATATGCAAATACCTCTATTATATAAGCTACAATAACAGGGATATCTTGACCTATTTAACTGCTATCGAAATATGAGATTAAGATTTTACAAAAGTATCAGAGTTCTGGTACAGTTTGTACTTCTCATGAGCATGGTACATTAGCTATTTTGGAAAGGATCTTTGATAATATGTGAAGATGTAATAGGGAAGTGTATTATTGTAATACAGAATTCCAATGCTTAATCCTTTTTATCAAAAAACCTTCTATGAAAGTTATCTCAAAGTACATCAAGACCCAGAGCTCTACTTTGGATATAAATAACTCTTACAATAGAGATATTTTTATATTCTCTGCCTATCAAGTCAAAATTAACTTTTCCAGCATCAAATCCTGTATCTAATAACTTAATTTAGCCTATGAAATTTCTCCATTTCCCTTTTACAGATGTTGTAGGTTATACAGAAATTTTTCAGTTCATTTAAAAATATTTTAGTATAGGGCCAAGGATGTGGTTCAAGTGCTAGAGTGCTTGACTACCAAGAATAAGGCCCTGAGCTCAAACCCTAGTACTACCCCCATTTTAATATGAACATTCCATACACAGTTTTCTATGGACCCAAAAGTGTTCTCTTTTTTTCAATAATCAACATTCATGAAAGGTCTCAGGTAGCCCAAGCAATGCTTAATTTCACACTTGGAATATCAAGTAATTTGCATAAAGTAGTAACATCAATATAAACAGAGCCCACAATACAAGTCAAATTAGACGTTTGTTCTGAATTCACTGGTTTATGACTAGTGGCTCAGCATGATTTCCTCTGAAATACTTTTAAAAGCAAAGACTATCGAAAGAAGTACATAAATAGTGCATTTTTACTGTACACCATATTCATACCTTACTACACCCCTAAAGTACTGGAGACATTCAGGCACAGTGTGATTACTGAATTTAGAGTCTTCCATATTTAGACTATACTCTGTGTGGTAAATTTAATAATCCAAGGGAAAATTTTCCTTCAAATATATGCTAAAGTTCTAGAGCGAACCAAATAATTCCTACTCATAATCTAAAATCTAGACAAAACTCTAGGCTGCAAAACATAAAAGGGAAGGTACACCATACCTCGAACTCAGAAATTTCTGGCAGGTTACTCTCCTCTGCCTTCTCTAGCTTTTCGGCGGCCCACTTGCTCGCAGCCTCAGCCAGTTCCTTTTCAGTTAGCCTACTGGGTTTGTCTAACACCTAATAAAAATCAAAAGGCAATTCTGTTAAAACTCTCAAGGGCTTTTAAGCTTCAAATACTCAAGAAGTACACTCTGCTAACACTTAAAATTGGATGGAGAATGCATACTTTTTTTTGTCCTTCCAAAAATACTCAACATAGGTTTCCTTAAGTAGTCATTACTTTGGGACATTATTATATCTGACTCAATTGCATTTACATAAAACTTCAGGAAGTCATCCAAAGAACAAAGCAAAAGACACTGACAACTCATACTAACCATATACAGAATATAAACATCATACTGATTTCAATTTTCTGTCCTTAATTACATTCAGTGAAATAAACAACAAAAAATTCCTATACAACAGAAAAGTCTAAGTATCTTATTTTTATACTTCGCAATAAATGGCATAAATCCTACTCTTTACACACTTTTTAAACCTAAACTTCAACATTTGAGTCTTCTAGTGCCTTTCTCTAATCAAATACAATATGAATAAAGTATGGGCTTTAGAGTAAAGACAGACTTGGATTGCAGTACAGTTTAGTCACTTGCTAAAAAGATTGATTTCATATACATAATTTATGATATTTTGAGCCTGGGCATTTACAAAATGGGGGCTAATAATATTCTCTCCACAAAGGAGCTATGAGAAATAAGAGAAGTAATAGACCTGAAAATGTCTAAGATAATGCTGATACTCTTTTTTTCTCTTTCATATTCACTGACATAAATCTATTGTATGAAAATATATTTGGAAAAGACAAATCAGTTCATGGCGGAACAACAAAAGCAAAGAAAATAAAACGTCTTTCTGGCTACTACCCAGGAAAGTTGGTCTGCACAGTAAGGTAGTTCTGACCTCAGAGCTCCTCTCTTGAACCTCTCATAGCTTGCATAGTAACCCCCACCCTAGGAGCCACGCTCCTACTCCTTCATGTACAAGATACTATATAAACTTCAACCACCGGGGTCTGTTCTTGGGTCTCATATACTTTGTGTGTGACTTCTATGCCTAAATGTACAATAAACTTTGGTTGTGTTCTGTGAATCTGTCTACTATGAGTGTTAGTACAAGACTAAAATTATCAAACTTTCAGAAGGAAGAGAAAATCTGAAATTTCCCTTCAAAGTACATACCAGTTACTCAGGAAGCCTAAATGCCTCACTCCAATGTTCTGCCTATACTGAAGGTTAAAAATGCATTGGAAAGTATTATGTTTATTATTACTAGAAATACAAGGTTTTTTTTTTAAAGTTAGAAGAATGCTGAGTGTGGTGGTATATGCCTGTAATCCCAGCAACTGGGAGGTAGAAGCAAGAGCATGTCAAGGTCAAGGCCAGCCTGAGCTACATAGTAATAAGACTCTGTAAAAAACAGACAAACAAAATGGGGGGAGGGGGAGAAAAAAGAAAAAGCACACAAAAAAAAAACTATATTCAAGAAAAAATTTTTATTCCTAATTTTTTTGAGTGTTAGGGAGCAAACACTAAAAGATAAATTCTCTCTAGTAAGAAATGAAGCAAAAACCTACCCTAACAATCTTTCTATTCATATGTGATTAAATGTTTATATGACAGTAACTTCTAACAGCAAAAAAATATTCTTATACAGGGCAACCATCATGCTTACAATAAAAGTTCCTCACCAAATCAGGACATGTAGCAAACAAAGCCTTCCACAGCTACCATGTGACCCTGGGCAAGGACACAGGGCCACACTTCCCTAGTATATATAAAATACAGAACGTAAATTCAATGTTCTAATTTCATTTTAAGACCTTATGTTTGTTTTTGGTTTTGGTGGTATTGGGGATTGAACTGAAGGCTACATGCTTGCTAGGCAAGTGCTCTCACTTCAGCAGCACCTTCAGACCTTAGGTTCTAATTCTGAAAATGCAACCATCTATGTAAAGCTATCAGAAAAAAATGGCTCAAATTCATTATGATTGTTTCCCATCAAAAAATATTTTTATAGGTAGCCCAAAGTCCTATATTGTGACTTATCCACAAATAAGGTAACACTTCAGGGGAAATTAATAGTTCATAAGCAATAATTTAAATTTTCACAGTAACTTGGATAAACAGATCTATTTACTATTTGTTACCTGACAAGACAAACAAGCCAGTTCTTCAGATGGGTAAAACATCCTTGAAATAGTTAACATAGAACCAAAAAAGAAGTATGTTAGCTACTTAAACAGCCAGCATTGGCTGGGCATGCCTGTCGAAGCACTTCAGAGGCTGAGGCCAGCCTGGGCTACAGTGAGACCTGTCTTTAGAAAACAAAAACAGGCATTCTAGAATTGGAGATGCAGCTTAGTGGTAGAGTGCCAAGCATGCACAAGGGCATGGCCCTGGGTTTGATCCACCACGAAACAAACAAAAAACAGCCTAGCATTCTAGAACCCTCAGGTTCTGAAGAAACTGATGATACAAGCTGTCACAAAGAAACTTTTTTGAGGCAGAGAAGCCTCTGCTCCTTGAAGCCTCAGAATAGACTGCCAGGTGATGCCTACTCTTACTGAAAAGTCAGAACTATCAAAGAAAGAAGAGCAAAAAGAAGTGAACAAGAGAATATAAGTAACAATTGTTACGGGCAAGAGAAAGGGTGTGGGCACTGTGAAAATGTCTATGTTTAAAAAAAAAAAAAAAGAAAAAAGAAGATGGAAACAGCAAATCCTCAAATTGTAAATTTTTGAGAATTAGAAACACAGTGCCTGTCTTTACAACATGTTTTGAGATGCTGGGAAGTTAGGAATCAAAAGATACTGCAAAGAGTAGCTATAGCTTTGAGGAAATTATTTAACATCTGAGCCTTCAATCTGCTATAGAATGGAGATTAATACCTACTTATGTTATGAGATTTCTATATGAATTAATAAGAAAATAATATAGTGCCCATAATTGAGTAGTTATAAATGTTAATAAATGTTAAGGTTTCTGCCCATACCCCTAGCTCCTAGAACAAAAGTAAAATCTACAAAAGTGCCCATATGAATATGTATTCCCACCTGATTATGGTCAAAATGAGCAAGGACTACAGCAGTGAGCCCCGATTTTAATACAACCTAGAAAAATCTATGAGAAAAATGCTCGTTTATTCTGGCAGCTATTTCAAGTTATGGTTACTTAAAGTTCAGTTTTTATATGCAGAAAATTAGCCCAATAGGTATGACAATACAGAGGAAGAACATCTATGCTGCATAGTCCACCTAACTTTGTAATTCTACTCTAAACTGATTTTAGAAAAGTAACAAACCTTTGATGAAGGAACTGCAGAAGAACTTGAAGGTGAAGTGTCTCTTGATGTTTTCAAAGACTGCAAAGGTCTCTCTTTACCTATATAAGAAAATATAAGATTTCTAGCTCATTTGTTTCCAATTAGGTGATTATACAGCAGAATTAATGAGGAAGATAACAGACTTACTTTAGTACCAAAGTTAAGGTTTTAAATTAATTATTAAATTATGTTAATATCTAAAGTTACCCCTCTTAATGGTTGACAATATCAAAAATTTGAAGTAATTCAGAACCAAAAGATAGCATATATGGCACTCTAAGTAAACAAAACCACAGAGAAGATGTGGGCAAAACACATTTTTAATCATGATGTGATACTTCCACTTTCCTGCTCCTAAGTGATAATTTAATATTATCACAATATAAATGCAAGGGTATTTACCATAGCTATTATGTAATCATAACAGAGCTAGCTAATTAGGGTAGAGCTCAAGGAAAGCTGTGTATAGGAAATTTGGGAGACACTCCTAAAATGCTTACACAGCTTGGATAATAAAATAACAAAACAATAATTCAGAGTACTAATCCCATGCCTGGCAGGAATAAATCCCCAAATATTTGTTAATGGGTTAAAATAAATCTCTATGAGATAAAGACATTAACCTTTATCTTTTATTCACACAAATTGCTGTATGTATATCTTTTTTTAGCAGTTTCCATAACAACCAAAAAATAGGCTTAAATTAAATCTTAGCGCTGTTACTAGTTGAAAATACTTCATTAAATTTTCACATATAATCTTCTGCTCTTATTGTTAAAAAAACTAAGACTATTAGCACCATGGGGAAAAGGAGTGAACAGCACCAAGTCTGAAGTCACACAGAAGCTGGTCAAGCCTAGAAAGTGAATTAAGGCCAGGAGAGCAGTCAAGAGCAAAAGCAGAGACCAAATGACCTCAAGACTGAGGCAAAGCCAGCTCTTCCTTCCTTGCTGCAGCTAAGAGAGCTAAGCAAGAGCCTTGAGACTCAAAGGCCTCCAACCACATATGACAGTGGTAAACAAAACCTCTTTTCAATGTTCTAAAGACCAGAGGCCTGCTCTAGACCAGCGGTTCTCCATCATGGACACTTTTGTACCTCCTACCCTCAGACACTGTGCCATGTGTGAAGATATTTTTGACGGTCATGAATGACAGATTGCCAGTGGTATATTCTAGGTACAGGCCAGGGATGCTGCTAAGCATCCTGTTATGGCACATAGTCCCTCCCCATAACAAAGAATCATCCAACCTCAGACATCACTAGTGCTGAGGCTAAGAACCCCTGCTCTAGGCTGCGTATTCCAATTTAGAAGCTTTTAAAGTTTTTAAAGGCTGGTGGCATGGTTCAAGTGACTAAAAAGCACAAGGCCCTTAATTCAAACCCCAATACCACCAAAAAATAATGTTCTGTTTTTTTTTTTTAAGTTTTTAAAAATATATAACCTAGGAGCTTAGGGTACCATATCCTCGTATCATAAGAGGCTCTCATACTAAGCAGACTTAAAAGTTCCTATAGACCTTAAAAAAATCAAAAGAAATATAATATAGACCATCACTACATTCCCAAATGTCCAAGAACATAATTTAGTCATTCTTTATTGCATTTACATTGCATGTGACAAATTCTACATTGTAATGTGATAGTGTCAGCCTATCCCACTACATCAAAAGTTCCCAAAGAACAAGTATATGTTATTTGTGAATAGCTATGGCCTACTTAACTAGAGGCCTTAAGACACGAGTGGGTACTCAAACTTAGGCAAAAAGATGAATCTTATTTTTCTACTCTTAGGTCTCAATAACCTCCCCATCCTACTTATGTAAGCAATCCCTTAAAAGATGAGGTGCTGGACCAATCAGCACAGCAGACCATGATAATTAAAGGCATAATTGCAGGCTCAGCCGGTGGAGGAGAGGGGGTTGCGACGACAACACTGTCATAAGCAGTTTACTATGCTCAAAGGCTAAGTTAAGCAGGTATCAACCAATCTCAGTGTGCAGAAGCAAAGGAACACAGACAGAAAGCAGGTGGCTTATCATGTATCCAAATATATTCATCTATACCAGTTACATGAATGTGAGGGCCAGACAAGAAGCAAATGACAAAGAAAAAGATGATAAATACGGCAGTCAAAGACCACAAAAAAGGTAAATAGAAATCCCTTGATCCTACCTGCCACTAACCTACTTATTCTATAGATGTTAGACTCCTGGGGGGTGGTTAGTCCTGATCAGAAATGGCTAGCCCAGACAATGTACCCATATCCTCCCAAATCCTACTAGGGGTCCCCTCCTATACTGGTATCCACATCTGGTGACAATACACTAACAGAGCAGTTATATAATTTTCCCATTTCCATCAATTCAAGCCTCCCACCCCTTCAAAATCCCAAATTGGAGTCTCACTCAACACTCACCTCTTTCTGCATTTCTTTCATTCTGCCATTTGTAGGAGGCACCAGCACGCGCGGGCTCTAGGGAAAGGTGGGCAGGGAGGAATTAACACCAGCACCTCTGTGCCCAGAGGGACAGGATAAGACCCCAGAAGTAGGAACGATGAGAACAGGAACTTCTGAGCATTTGCTGGTGACCCTAAACTCTTTCCTACCCTATATCTTCGAGCTGAGCTAGTACAGGAAAATCTTTGCATAAAGTTTGGGAGACCAGATATACCAACCCAAAGTACACTTCTTTGGCACACTGAGATGGCAATTTAGAGAAACAGATACATGACTGGCTCTGAAAACCTACCCTTTTATAAAAGAAATTTACATTTATCTACATTACTAAAATAGTGGATACAAAAACGGGCTTTCTCTGTGTTCCCCTTAATGTGCAAGAAATAGATTTAATGAAGATCCTATCATAAGAAGAGACCACCGATTAGCACCCCAATCAGACAGACTCTCACAGGTTGTCACTATTCTTCTGAGAGCAGCTCAAAGATCACCTGAGACTTTTTCTGCATAACAAGAAAGCCTTTTATTTTCTGTGGATCCCCCTCCCCCCACCACCTCACCCTTCCACAGCTAGTAGAACCTCCCAACCAAAAGCCCCAAGCCTCTGTTCTAATTCTGTATAAAGGTCAATTACTTGGCCCTTAATAAAAGGATCTTCCTGGAATAGTTTTGAAAATCCAGGAATGGGGGTAAGGAGGATAAAGGAGAATGATGGGGGATTGGGGGTAGTAAGTTCAAGTATGATATATTTGACATACTGTAAAAACTTTTGTAAATGTCACAATGTACCCCCAGCACAATAAAAAATTTAAAATTTAAATTTAAAAAGAAGGATCTGAGACCCCTGTGTTTGTATATGCACATAATAAACTTGTCTTTTCCCCAGTTGATCTGTCTACTGTCAGTATATTTCAATCTCAATTACTGAACCATCAGAAGGTGAGGGAAAAGTTTTAAACTCCTCTACAAAGGCCAGAAGCTAATCAAGTATTAAGAGAGGCCACTCAAGGATAGCATGGGCAGAAATGAATTAGAAAAGGACACTAAAATTTGAACAAGGAGCATGCCTTGTTCACTACAAGTATCTACTTTAATTCCTTCCATCAAGTTCACATTCAAAGAATTGGTAAAGGATCAATCATTCACACACACACACACACACACACACACTCACTCACTCTCTCTCTCTCTCTCTCTCACACAGAAAGGGGGAGAGGGAGAAGGAGGGGAGGGAGAAAAGAGGGACAGAAGAGTGAAAGATGAATTACCACTAGAAACAACAAAAAATAATACTGAGAAAATTATCAAATAGTCATTTTGACTTATTCTCAACAAATAACCCTATTACTAAATCTGGCTGATCATGCAACTTTCAAATATGGATTTTCTTTAAAAACAAATCTACCCCAACTTTTCCTGTATTTATAATCTTGAAATATTGTTAGCTTCTTTACTTGCAAACTCTTAACAGGAAATGTGCTTTCTAAACATTTTAAAGACAGTAGATAGGGCACATATTCTGACAGCAAGAACAAATAAACTCCTTAACATTTATTTCAAATCTTTCTATCATAGATCACATATTGCCATTTTTACTTTATTTCCCTAGGGATGATGGGGGAACCTGAAATTTTCTAAATTGTTTTGACACTGTCAGCAACTTGCCTTAAAATGTGTTTCAAGACACAGCATGCAAATATTGCCATCCTACTTTCCCAATAATATTGAGGACACAGTATCCCTTTCTGATTATTCACTGGTTATCAGGCAAGTTCTTCCTCTTGAGCAACAGATCTATTTTTATTTGTTTTAGAGTAAGGCACACTGAAAACTACTACTGCTCCTTTTCTGTTTGCTTTGGCCAAACAGCTTACCAACCACAACTGTTTAGTGCATGATGACAGACATTTATTTCCTGCACTATTAACTTTATTCTTACTTTTATTTCCTACCCCTCTTATTTACATAAAATTCTTCATCCATTCATTTAATCCTATTTTATTAAACGTTTATTTCATGAAGATGCCTCTAATTCTATTTCACATCAAGTCAATAGATAAGAATAGTCATTAGAGACCTGTACTAGAGCCTTATTAGTTCAACTCATTTTAGCTAGTAAGAGTGGACCATATCCATCTCTTCCAACTTTGAGTTCCATTATTCCATGCTGGCAGCAAGACAGTCATCTGGGATGAAGAATTTATCTACAAATATCAGCAAATACAGAGAATCAGGTATTTTTTTAACCCAAAAGAGTCAGTTCAACACACCCCTGGAGATCTACTTATTAATTTTATTCCAAATTTCAGAGACACATTTAGTTACAATTTCCCATCTGTGATACTTCAATTAGGCTTAGACCATTCAATTACTTCCTAACAAACCAGTAAAACCACCCAAACACAGAATCTTGAACAAATAAGTAGTTATCTTTTTTAATCCACTAAGTTTTGAGGTGTTTTTTTTGTAACACGACATGATATAATAAAAAGCCTATTGCCCAAAAGTTTCTAATGACGGGATCATATTAAAACTAAAGGTCTCATTCTTGACCTCTATCATAGCACCTTAATGACTTGTACACAAGATTTCATATTTTGGCATTGATTTTCATACCTGTACTAGTCAGCTTTCTGTCACTGTGACAAAATACCTGATAAATAACTTTAGCTCACCATTTAGGAAGTTAAAGTCTATGTCACATGGCCCCACTGCTATGGGCCTGTGGTGGCACAATGTGTCATGGCAGAAGCACACTGGAGGAGGCTTGACCATCTCAAGGGGACAGAGACAGCAGAAGAGTCAGGGTCCAAAAATACTCTTCACACTCAAAGACCTAATTTCTCCCCAATCAGGCCCCACCTCTTAAAGGTTCCACCACCTCCCAATAATGCTATAGGCTATTGTCTAAGCAGCCAAGACAGGGGCCTTTGAGGACTCTTCAGATCCTAATACCTTTGTATTTTTGTGTTGGTCCCCCTACATCTTTTTCTTGCTCTTCTATTGGTTTTTGTTCTCTAAATGTGAATGTTCCTCTTGATCTCAATCTTTTTGCTCTGCTATTCTTACTTGACTTCAACCCACAAATACAGATGACTCTTAAATCTGTTTCACTAACTGCTTTGCATTCTAAGTAACAATATCCTTCTCAGGTATTTAATCATTACCTCAAATTCATCTCACACAGGATTCTAGTAAGTAGACCCTAACTTTCTGCTTGAGGAAGGTTGTTTTTAAACATCATTCTTGTCTTGCTATGCTTGCTTAAAAATAAATAAATAGTTTGTCGGGTACCCGCTACCACAAAAAAAGTTTTAAATCAGGACAAAGAAAAAAAAGAAAAAAAACAGGAGAGAAAAATTCTGTGGGTGGCAGTATGGAAATAGAATTTCATGTGTATATACTGATGAATTAAAGAATAAATAAGGAAGAAAAAATAAAAAGGAATTTCAAAAATAGTCTCTGACTTACTATGGTTCAACATACAATTTTCTAACTTCACAGTGGTGGCGTAGCCATTTACATGGCATAGTCATTTGCATTCAAGTAGAAACCATATTTCAAATTTTGAACTGTTCCAGAGTTAATGATATACTGTATGACACTCTCAATGCTGAGCAATGCTAGTGAACCACAGCTCACCGTCAGTCCTGCCAATCACAACCATGAACAACTGAAACTCTACAGTGTGCTGTGTTGATAAACTATGAAGTTAAGAAGGTTAGGGATATTAAATGCCTTAACAATAGTCTCAAGTTATGGGGTTTATTGGGATATGGGCCTATTTTAAGTCAAAGAGCATCTAAACAGGTTTCTTATACCAGGTTTAAAAAGTTTTTCCCACTGAGGAGCTGGCAGAGTGGCTCAAGTGGTAAAGCACCTACCTAGCAAGCGTGAAGCCAAATTCAAACCCCAGTACTGGAAAAAAAAAAAAAAAAATTCCCATTGAAGTGAACTTAAAAGCATAGAAACAGCTTAATGATTCAAAAACATTCAGAAAGTTCGGCAAGAGTTTCATAGTAATTGCTGCAAATCTAACATGATCTTTCAAAAATATACTTTCTTTCTACTAAAAGCAAGTCTAAACCTAACCAGGAGACATCTAACTCTACTAGCTGCTATTTGTTATTGATAACTTATACTAGAACAAAAGGTTCTACAGGAAAAAAAAGAAATCATCACAAACATGAAGTCTTATAAACTACTGGCCTCTCAATAGAATGCTTAGCAAATAGAGACAAAACAAATACCTTTGAATTCAAGACAACTTCACAACACAAGTAGTATAGTCACCTCTCCTTCAACAGCTGAAGCTTTGAAATGGAAACATTAAAAAAAGAAATAGAAAGTAAACTATGAACAGATGAAGATGTGGCTACACAAACACTGAGACTGTTTCTCTGGATCATGGAAAAGACATGGGAATTGCGTGGCTTTGGGTTAAGAACATGATTTCTCAGAAAACTTGCTGGTTTACTCAAGAAAATACGAAACAGAAAATGCCTACACATAAGAACATTCTGTTTTAAAGATACCCAAAAATGTCAGGGAAAGGACACCAGTAAAGGTGTTGAGATTTGCACCACCTCTGATTCTCCCAAGATCATCTTAAGAAGGTCAGATATACTAGTCTCAAAACATCATTTTTAATTCTTACACACTTTCAGTTATCTAAGAAGAATTTTTTTTTTTTTTTTTTTTTGTGGGATCAGGGTTTGAACTTAGGGATTCCTACTTGCAAAGCAGGCACTTTACTGCTTGAGCCATACCTCTCATTCATTTTTGCTCTGGTTATTTTGGCGATGGGGGTCTGACAAACTATTTGCCTAGGCTGGCCTTAAATCATGATCCTCCTGATTTCAGTCTCCCTTCCAAGTAGCTGCTAGGGTGAGCCACTGATGTCTGGCGCAGAACAGGTATTTAAAAAGAATTAAATACACATGAACAATAGACTTAATTTTTTTTTTTTTTTTTGTGGTACTGGGGTTTGAACTCAGGGCCTTGAGCTTGCTAGGCAGGTGCTCTACTACTTGAGCCACTCCCCTGCCTGCCCTACTGGGCTTCCTTTTAAATGTCTGCAAATGTCAAGAAAAAAAAAAAAAGGAAATGGGGGGCTGGGAGGTTTAAGACCCAAAGTCAGAGCTACAGAAAAACAGACAGGCAAATCTTCCACAGTAACAATATTTTAAAAATTCAACCAAATGTTATACCCAGCCTCATAAATAAGTACCACTGGTAACTTTGACATTAATCCCTAGCAAATGTCTAGAATCAATTAATACATAGTTTGTGAATACTCACAAAAATCACTCCTATAAGCCACATGGATTTACAAAAATAAAGAAAGGCTATCTTTATGTCACTGTTTCACCAGAAGAAATGCTTTGCAACTGTCAAGAAAGCACCTGATAATGTCTCCCATGAGATTCTCAAGGGGAAATAAAGGCAAATAATGGCAAAATTGGGGGGAGGGGTCCCCCTAACAACTGGTTGAATAACAGCAATCAATACTAATCAAAGGTAGAGGTTAACACAGAAATCTCTGTAAAGGTTTCTATATTTGGCCTTATGCTACACAACAAAATTATTAATCATTAATAAAAACACATCAGACACCCTTGATTTGCAGAAAAAGAAAACTGTCCTTATTAAGTTGTAATGTATAGGATCACTAAATGAGATTTAGGATCTCTATAAAAATAATAAGCCAAAATTAATTAGACTACATTTAGCATTTACATATATATAATTTTTGATGTATTAATGACACATAAGCAATTATACCTGGAAAATGTACAGACCAAGAGATATTTTATTTAATACTATTCCTGTGAAAATGGCTTAGGTTTCAGCTGCCTACACTCTCAATAAGGACCAGTAGTTAAATGTAGTTGCCAAAATAAAAAGTTCACTTCTAATTTTATAACTTAAAAGGAAAAGAAAAACTGGGAAAGCAAAAGAATTGGAAACCATATCAAAAAGGAACAGCAAAAGTAACCAACTATATTAAGCCTGAGGTGAAAGATATAATGGTGCTCCTCCAAGAGTTACAGACACAGTTTTGTACATATAGAGGTATGTCCTAGTAATTAAGATTCTACAGAATGATGTAAACTGGGCAATCCCATTTCAATTGCTCAGAAGCTACATAATCAGAGGCAACCTGCTTTATCTCCATGAAACTCAACTCTCCATGAAAAAATCCACACTGCAAGGCTGTCACAGAAATTAGTGAGCTACATATATAAGATGGGTAGAGCTCTGCAGCACATAAAGTGCTCCATAAAGGCAGCCATTGCTTTATTGTCTTTTAATTTTTAGAAGGCTTAAAGACTTCTATAAAAATATACAGAAAGATACTCCTTGATTTATGGTGGGGTTCTATGCCAGTGAACCCATCATAGTTGGAAATAATATAAGCTGAAAATGCATTTATAATACACTTAACCTATCAAATGCCACAGCTTAGCAACACAGCAAGTGTGATGCTGGGTGCTTCCCCGCTCATCACAGGGCGACTGGGAGCCAATCACAGCATCGTGAGAGTATCTCCCCACTTATCACACTACATATGCACTTTTTCATGACTCTACCACAGAAGAGATATTAAATACATGTAAGAACCATGAAGAATTAGTCCTTCAACAGTTACTGTGGCCCAGTTGATGAAACAGGTAAAATTACTATGAAAACAATGAAAAGGCAAAATTTTTTTAGTTGAAGAATTAGAAAAATGAAGGTGTGAAGAATAAAAAAATCATTACTTTAAGCTACAGTTTGTATTTATAAAGCCATTTAAAATCCTCATGAAAATTTCAATTACATTAGAAAACTAAATTTTAACAAAATGCTAAAATTAATTCAGTTTACACTACTGGTAACTGAAGGACTTGCTTCTCAGGCCTTCACTGAAAAAAGCAAAGTGCCATCAATATCTGTAACATTCAAGTGGTTTGTCTGTTTACAGTACTGTGGATTGAACTCAGGGCCTCATGCTTGCTAGACAAGCACTCTACCACTTGATTAATGCCCCTACTCCAATAGTCAGGTTTAAAGCAACAACTGATATCACAAATATGTCAAATAATTTTTTCCACTTATTATTTAAAATGAGATTTCTGCATTAACTTTTTATGAACCAGTCTTAAGTGTTCTGAAAGCACAAAAAAGGAATATAGAAACCATTTTCCTTCTATAACCTAAGTAGTTAAGGAACCAAGCAAAGTAACTTGTTGAGAGTTTTCCCAGAACAATTATCTCAATTAATGAACTTTACTTTCAAATTCAAAAGACTAAAGAAAATAAACAGGCAGTAGAAGCTCTGTGTCATTTAACTTACCCAATGTTTTGGTTTCCCAACTTTGTTATCTTTCTATCACTCCAGATAGTAAAGACATTAAACCTCAAAGGACACATATTCTAAGACAGAAGCATCACACCATGGCTCATACATGTTTCATTCCAATATATTAAGAGTTTTAGACACAAAGTAGAGAAAAACAGAGAGAAGATGCTCTCCCCAGAAATTTCTGTTTTACAGGACAAGTGAAAAATTAAAGCTAATTCACCACTATCTACCTTTGATAGTTTCACTATAAGCTATCAAATAAGAATCTCATTTCTGTTTTACTATTTTATTTATGTTTTGTTAGAAAGGGTTCATCTGCTAAGTGTGGGATGCATGCCTGTAATCCCAGCACTTGGAAAGCTGAGGCAGAAGGATTGTAAGTTTGAGACTAGCCTCAACTTTGTGTCTCAAAAAACAAATGAAATAAAATAAAAAGATATAAAATTTTAAAGGGCTTCATTACCATTTTCCAAAGATATATTCTTAATATCATTAATGGATTTGAATTTAAGTGAAACTGTATAGGGAAAAAAATTCTTAACAGGTCTGTGCCTAATGTTGGGTGTGTCTGGACATGAGAGTACCCAATAGTTTAAAAGTGTTTCTCTTCTTAAAGCGTTTTTGTTTGGGGATTTTGATTATTTTTGTTTGCATGTGTGTGCTGATGGGACTGGAGGGTTCGGGAGATAAAAGGAAAGGGGAAAACACTTAACGCTAGTCTCCACAGTACAGCTTCCAGTTTTTTAGAAGCAAATGTTTCTCAAGCAAATGTTAAGTAATTAGGCATATGTAACTTGCTGTTTGTTTTAGCTCCTGCATGACCATTCATACACCTGTACCCAAAAATATACTTTTTGGAAAGCCTCATAAATCTAGCTCTACAAATAATAGACAACAGATAAATGTTCGCAAAACACAGGAAACCAGAACAGCTCCAAGGGTAGACAATGTGCTGACAAGCAGTCTTCCACCATTCTCACCACGCAGGAGGCAAACACTGCTGAATCAGAGGTCTTATTTGAAAAAGACAGTAAATGGGAAGGAAGTTAAAAAGGAAAGAAAACCACCTCGACTTTTCTGTATTCTATGTCTTTGTTTATAATTCCTTCTACTTAGAATGCATTTCTGCAATTGCAGAAATGTGAAATAAGATGAGCCTAAGTGTCATTTCCTTCATGACAACTATTTCTCCCAGCCTGACATGCTCATGTCACATTAGCTAATTTACATTTTTGTATCAAAGCTATATTTTACATAATTAGTAATTTTATATAATTACTGATACAGTTGTTATTAGCTAGTAGAAAATACGTTCATTCTAGTTCCTTGGTGACAGGGATATACTTAGGAAAAACTGTGTACGGTATTCACTATACTTTAAAGATTTCTGTAAATTTGAAATTTTTGAAAAGAAATACTTAAAAAGAAAAAATTATCTCTTATAGCACCTGTAAGCCAGTATGACTCATTCACTTTCATCAGTGGAAGCTGTGAAAGAAAAAGTCTTAAAAATACATACTTCTATGTTGAGACTGATGGAATGAATATGTTTTGCTTCGTTCTGGAGAGTAGCTTCTACTGCTGACACTAGAGCCAGATCTGCTGTGTGGGGAGTCCTTGCGGCCTCCAGGTGACTCTCTGAAAAATGCAGCATCCCTTTTATGGGGTGACCGTTCTCTTGAATAATGGGAAGAATAGAAACTTTTTCTTCTAAAGCCATCTCTCATGTCCCTTTGAAGAAAAAAATACAATAATTTAATTACAGCTTTTTTCACAAATGGCCAAAGCTCTGACTATAAAGTAACCTCTAACTTGCAGTCTTGGTTCCCCTTTGTTTCCAACACCTAGCATTGAAGTCACTAAACAAAATGAAACTAGCAGTGAAATGTGATTTAGAATGCACCACTTTTTCAAAGTTTGAAGTAGAACTGGGTGGTTAATTTCAAGTTACTTTATTCTAAGCAAGCACAAACTCTACTGTGTGAAGTCCTGCAGTCTCTACTTCTCTTGTCATTAATAAACCACACAACTACTATACTCTCAAACACACCTAGAAATGCCAAAGATTTACCAAGTGAAACTTTTCATGTCCTATTTCTTAGGGTTGAGCATCCCTAACCCAAAAACCTGCAAAATCTGAAATTTTTTGAGTACTAACATGATGCTCAGAAAGCTTCATATTTTGATACATTTCTTATTTTCACATTAGAGATGTTCAACCAGTAAAATTTAAGCATTATTTAAAAAAAAAAAAAAACTCTGAAAACTACTGATCCCAAGCATTTCGGAAAAGAGATACTCAACCTGTACTTCTTTGTTCCGCAGAGTAGAATTTAGAAATGTGTGGAGGACTTCTGGGTTGTCATGGGGGTAGGAGAGTATTGATGGGTAGCGGCCAGATAACTGTTTAAAATCCTACAATACCCAAGGCACTCACCCCTCATCCCCATGCACCAAAAAATTAACTAGTCCAAAATGTTAATAATGCTGAGGTTAAGAAACCCTAGCAAATAATTATTAAATATTTGTTCTCTAAAAAAATTTAAATAAATAAAAAGAAAAAAAAAGAAATTTTTGTTCTCAGAGTTTGTATCTTTAGTATACAGATTGTTGTCCAGCCCTAAATACCATGTTTACAAATCTATTCTACTTTCATAATTAAAATTCCTTATTTCTGGTAGTACTGTGGGTTGAACTCAGGGCCCAGCACTTGCTAGACAGGTACTTTACCACTGGAGCCACACCCCTAGCCTTTCTGCTGTGGTATTTTTGAGATAAGGTCTCACTTTACGCCCAGGCCAGCCTGACCATGATCCTGCTATCTATGCTCCCCCCGGTAGCTAGGATGGCAGGAGCACATACCACCAAGCCCAACTGTTGGTTGAGATGGGAGCTCACAAACTTTTTGCCAAGGCTGGCCTTGAACTATAATCCTCAAGAAGAAAAAAAAAAATTGGCTATTGATATAAATTTGTCTGCAAAAAAGCAGTATTTAAACCCATGAGTACAGATGAAAACAAAGGCTAAAAAGAACAAAGGGCCCAGAATGTAGGGCTAAGAAATATGTATGTGTATATATATATATGGAGAAACAAAAGATGGGAAACAAAGAATAAATCTCAAAAGAATGAGAGAATGGCCAGAAAAACACAAGAAAACACAAAAGAGTGATTGTCCAGGAAGCAAAGGAAAGAACATTCTAAGAAAGGGATTAGGTTTTTCTACATTAAAATTAAGTGAGCTCTTACTAAAAATTTGCTTGGGGGATAGAGATGGACAAGATCATATTCAGAGGAAAGACTGAAAACACAAAATGCTCAACTACAGTTTCCTAATCCCAACACCAGATGGCAGTAAAATCACAGCAGTTTGGACTACCAGCTTGGCCAGGAGACAAGACAGGGATGTTAGACTTCAGTCACTCAGAAAAATGTAGATCTTTCCCTTCATATCCACCTCTTCTACTGCTTACCAATTTCAGCAAAAACATCACAAAAGCTGTTTGAGAAAGTAGCAATGTCAATGAACTCATTTTCTCAGGTTGCTACTGTATGTATAATACATGTTATATGACAGACCCTATGGAGAATTACCAGGCTCTGAGGAAGCTTACCATCTAACTAGAATTTGTGAGAGAGGTGGCAGTAAATGCTCAAAAAGGCTGGGACTAAGCCCAGTGGGTGATGCAGGCCTACAATCCCAGTAGTCAGAAAGCTGAGGCAAGAAGATCAAGAGTTCAAGGCTAGCCTCTACTACATACCAACATTCTGTGTCAAACCAAAAATTATAAAAACATTTTTAAAATTTCTAATTAAAGAAGAAAATTCTCATATTGATGGCAAAGTTTTATGTTTTTTTTTTGCCCGGCTAACATTCCTTTACTTTTTTTATTCGTTTATCCATATGTGCATACATTGTTTTTGCCATTTCTACCCCCTACCCCCACCCCCTCCCTATCCCCTCACCCCTTCACTTCCAAGCAGAATCTGTTCTGCCCTTGTCTCTACTTTTGTTGAAGAGCGAGTATAAACAATAAGACAAAGCAACAGCAAAGTTTTAAATGTTAATGTTTGTATTTACTTAATATTAACAAAACCATTAGAAATAAGACTAACATACCAATAAAGACAAAGGAAAACAGAAAGTCGTATCACTAAATATTTAAGATATTAAAGTTAAGATGCTTTTTCCTGTCTAGTAGTTAAAATGAGGTTAAAAAGATACTTAAAATACACACACACAGTCTGTCTCTAGATGGGACTGCAAATCTGTCAGAATGCCACCTTCTTCCCACAATCTATACAACTGTATCTGTAAACATCTGACATTTTGTAATTGATTTCATAAAACACTACAGAACACTTGCAATTCCTTCTCTTTTTTGGCAGAGACCCACTACTGAATGTAGTTTGCACTGCGTTTCAAACGATCAAAACATTCCAATAGTCTGCAAGTAAGATGCCTGCCTTAATGTTTATCATTTTCATTTCATTTCATCATTAACAAAGGCATACATGCAGCTACTGTGAATTCTGATGGAAACTATGTAGAAAATTTTGGATTGAGAGTATTCTAGATTTCAGATTTTCAGACTGGGGATGCTCATTCACCAAGGTCAATGCAAATACTGCAAAACCTTAAAAAGTGTGGAACCTAAAACACTTCCAATCTCATGCATTTTGATTAGGGACACTCAAACCATAGTGTATAACATGTTAGTTTTATGAAACTGCTGAGTCCTAATTTTCTTTTTTTTTAATTTTGTCTTTTCTTTTTTGGTGCTGGGATCAAACCCAGGGCCTCATACATGCTAGACAAGCGCTGTACCACCAAGCTACATCCCAGCCCTTAATTTTACTTCTGAATTATCATACAGTAATAATACAAGATTTCATTGTGGTAATTCCATACATGCGTTCAGTGTACCTTCCACAAGTTCACCCCCTCTATTATATTTCTAACTTTCTCCACTCCTCCCTTTTTTTTTTCAAGGTATTTGGTGGGTCTCACCATGCTATCTTCATATGTGTGTATATAGTGTACTCAAACCTCTTCACCCCTCAATATCCTTTCCCCCTTCACACTCATTTACACCCCACAGACGGTCCCCATACACATTCGTGTACCATCATCATCCTTTTAGCTCTAGGTTCACAAATGAATAAGAACATGACGTGGCCGTTTGAGCTGGGCTTATCTCACTCAAACTGATCTCCAGTTCCATACACTTTCCTGCAAATGATACATTTCATTTCTCTTTATGACTGAGTAACAGCCATGATATAGACACAACTTTCCTTTCCTGTTCATTGGTTGTTGGTGCCCTGGCTGATTCACAGGTTGCTATTGTGAGCAGACCTACAACAACATGACATGCAGCCTAATTTTCATAAATTTTTATCCTCCACCTTATAAGCATGATTTATGATAAATTAGGGTGAAAATATAAATTCAAAGTCTTGATTTTCTTTTTTATTATGATAGTATGGTGTGAAGGCTGGGCACCAGTGGCTCATACCTATAATCCTAGCTACTCAGGAGGCTGAGATCAGGAAGATAATAATTCTAGGCCAGACTGGGCAAATATTTTCCCAGCCTGGCTTCTTTATGATCTAAATCCTGAAAGGTAACTATAGATCCCTAACCAACTTAATACTTGTTTAAAATACTTACAGGTTTCTGTTATCTTGTATATTACTTAACATTGTTTAAAATAACTTCAGATGTAAAAATCCAATTTTTAATAAGAAAATCTGTGTGCTGTCATGCACTGCATACAACACTTCAGTCAAGGATGAACTGCATATATGAGTGTTCTCATAAGTTTGTGTAAGTACATTCTACAACATTTGCAAAGCAACAAAGTTGCCTAAAGACACATTTCTCAGAACATATTCCTGTTTTTAAGAAAAGCATGTCACAGTCCTGAGTTCAAACTATATTGTACAAAAAAAGGGAAAGTGTCACTACTTAGAATCACACAAGTAAAATATGAAGTTACTCTATATAAGTGCACAACTATTTCTTGAAGAAAAGTATAAATTAAAGCCTTACATATAATGTGACTAAGTACTTAAAAATCAAAACATAAAATCTCTACAGATTATCACTAGTTTTCCAAAAAATAAAGAGAAGAATTGATTAACAGAAAGTAGCTCTTTACTCACATTGTTCTTTAAAAATGTCTTGGTTCCAATACTTGAAATTAGCTCCAAAATTCGACCAACGCCAACTAGTATAATTTTCTTTGGGCAAGTGTTATCTTGATTCTAATAATGAATTTTGTTCATTTGTTCTAACCTGGACTCAAGCATGCTGAGTTGACGTGAAAGAATACTGGAGACTTGGGCCTGTCTTTAATGCCTTTTTTCATAAATAACGATGTGAAACCACACTGCAAGTAAGACAAAGTTCCACTTACCATACAGCCTTCAAATGATTGGGTTTCTAGCTATGTTGGAAAGAGGGTATCAATATATATATGACATGATGAATTCAATGCAATAAATTACAGCAGATCAAAAGGGGATTTTGAAAAAATATAAAGAATACAACTAGAATGCTTATAATTTTCAAAAGATACATATTTTACTGAACTGATGCTTTTATTGTCAAAAGTACATGGCTTGTTGAATTGAGACAGTATGTCTGGCTTCATCACAAATATTTCACCTATAGCACTGGGCAAACAAAGGAGACAAAGTCACCTGGAGAACGAAAGATGGGAAGAG